ATTTCTCATTCCTTGGCGCAAAAGCAGCGTAAGAATGGGCAGAGTGCCTCTCTCCAGGAGTGCCTCTGCTCGTGGGGTGGTGCCCCAGGGGGTTCCTGATCACACCGAAGCGTTTGCTCAGGCAGAGCCAGGAGCTGGTCCCAGGGAGCTCGGTCAGTTCCAGCTCTGTCCTGTGGGGCCCCTTGCCAAGGAAATCCAGCAGGGACAGCCCCAGGACGGCGCCCGCTGGCCCCCTCCTGGCCACTGCGCAAAGACAAAGGCATCGCTCACCCCCGTCAAAGAACCGCTGCATTATATGAAAGGTTTACTCTTTTTTCCCTGAAATCAGCATTTCCATTTTTTATTCTTACATCTTTGACCCTCAAGATCTCCCTACAGTCTTTCCCAGGATTCTGAGCAACCTTTAATTCTTTTTAAACACAAAAATGTATGGGATGACACCTATAAATCTGTGGCTGCTATACAGAGAGCAGTTTTAGGTGCACTGCAGAAACATCTTTAAGTTAGAGGAAACAGATCTACAGCTTTCAGTATCTGATTCAGTAAATGCTTCCAAAAGGAAACATCACCTTTTGCTCTCAGTTAAAAGCTTGCATCCCCTAAGGCTGTACCTTGGGGCTGTATTACACATGGTGTAATTGCTATGCCACACACACGATTTTGTGCTTCCCTGCAAACCTTAAGATGGATTAGTGTCTACAGATTCACCTGCCTGCTCAGCAATCCCTCTCCATTTGTCTAATTCACATTATGTCTGGCTTAAATTCATTATCCCTCACTCAGAGAGGGTGAGGCTTAGGAAAAACTGTCTAAAATAAACACCAGTCTTGCCTTAGGGCAACTTCTGTTGTTCACTACAGCTGTGTGAACAGGTCATTTTTCATGTGTACACATACAATCTTGCAAGGTCCTGCCAAAGTTATTGAGTTTAGATTACTCTTATCAAGGCTGGGAAGTGTACAAAACTGGAACAAAAAGTCAGATATCGCCCCCAAAAATCTTTAAAACCATGCAAGTCAAAGCTACACAAGTAGTTTTCTCTGCAAAAGTCTCTACTTGTACATATTATCTCTGAACTTGGAGTTTATTAATAAAGTAATTCTTAAAGGAACATTTTGTGTTCTTATTTTCTTAAAACATCAACAGCCAGCTAACTCTTAATGCAGTTTACATTACAAAAAACCCTTGCAACCATAAGAACACATTCTAGTAAAAGCAAACTCGAAATTCCTACTATAAAACACAGGAAGGAAAAGTTATTAGAAAGGAATAAAAGTTCATATTTTTCCATTTTGCTTCATACATTCAAAAAAGGTCACCTTTAAAGAACTTTTTACTTTGCTCTACTATTTGCACCGAAGCCCAGCTTTGGACAGGAGGTGGTGCTATAGTCTGTGTAAATTTTGTTATTAGGCAACACCAACAGTTAAAGATTACTAAAAGGAAAAGGTAAAAAAAAAGAAACACTCTAAATCCTGTAGAAGCGCTGGCATGCATACTTTACCTACAGTTGCTTTCATATCAGCAGGTATTCTGTAACAGTGCTAAAAAGTTTTGTAAGAAGGCACTAAAATATTTGTGTCTGTCAAGGATTTCAAATACCTAGCAAAACATGATTATCAAAGCATGGAAAAAATCTGTTATGCACAGCTCTGGGCAAGCTGTAACAGTTTTTATGTGGCCAAGGCTCTGTTAAGCAGCTCTGGGCCATGAGGAAACTGATGGAACAGTGGAAGATTTTTGCAGCTCCAGTGAGAACATTCTGTCTGCCTCTCCCTGAAGAATGCAAGGTTAGCTGCAGGGTCAGATTTACTGGCCAAGATGAAATGCCAGATTAGGAATCCAAACCCCATGCCTAGGTTAATGCTCTTTCCCCCTCTCTCCTTTCTTCTTTTGCTGTCTTTCTCCTCATGCTCATCCAGAAGTACCAAACATGGCATCTTCTGAAGACTTTTTTCTTGCTGTCCATGTTGCCCTGTCTCTATCCCCATTTTCCACCTGTAACTTTACTGGGAGAGCTGTTCTGGATTGCAGTCTGCTTGACAGTGACGACCATCAGCAGCCAAGCTGAGAGAAAACAACTGTGGAAGACTGGTTCCCTTCTGGCTGCACTTCCTCTCCCATTCTCATATTTTCTTTAGAAAGGAAACTAACAAATGACTCCCAGAATGGATCCAAGGGGTGTTTTCTAAGAGAGTAGATCTTTCACATATTCCTTTCTGAAACTATCAATTATCCATAGCCTGCTAAAGCCAAGAACTAGGTGTCAGACCAAGGCCAACAGCAGATTGTGGGAGAAATTCTTATCTCAGTTACACAAGTCTGGATCTGGAGGAACTCCAGTTATTAAACAATCTGTAAAATTAGGATAACAATAAGTATTATTTCAAAAAGGTTTGTGATGGTTAACTACTAGTAATTAATGCTGGTATAGAAATCAGGCAATGGTTGCCTGGAAATGAAAGGCACTATAGAAATTCTAAGTACTCATTATTTCTGCCATTTGCAATTAGACTTTTCAATGTAATCTATTTGTTGTAGTCAGGGTGCCCATCAATGCTCCCTGCAGATCTCAATCTATTGTTCCTGAATAATTCACCAGTCTCAATAACATTAGTTCACATTTAATTGGGGAAAAAAAAAGCTTACCTCTTTCTAGATGCCATTACAGATGAAGGTACCACCAACATGAAAGTCAAAATTCCCAAACACAAGGGAGTGGGTGTGAAGGCAAAATAACTTGAACATATTTCACTTGAAATGGATGGACCTGAAGATCATTTTACAACTACAAAATGGGATTAAAAAAAAAATCCTTTTATTGAATGGGATCTGTTGAAGCTTTAAGATTATTAATAAATAATAGTAGGAGTTAGACTTCAGTGTAAAATGATGCTATACTTTCCTTTCTAAAGACCTATTGATGCTTGTGATCCTACAGCTGTATCTTCTTTAAATACTTCTCTATCTTTAATCAAGGGATGTTCCTATACACAACTTTAAGTAATTACATACAATCAAATTAATTGTAAATCAGAACTGGATAAAAAGGTTTATATGTCAAGTAAATATTTGATTTTTTCAAAGATATCCAACTTAAAAAATACATATGTTGAATTTAATCCAGTGCAGTGGGAATTACATGAATATATCATAAATTATTTGCTGTTACTTAGATAGGTGTCAAATGAGCATTGTGACATCCCTGTTTTAAGGTAACACACTTCAAAAAATTGTTTTGCGACAGTATTTTTAAGTGGTCTTTTAAAGCTCAAGGTTCGACTCTAAGATGTCCCTGGATAGGGAGACTGAAAAATGTGTATGTTACAAAATATGCATCAGAAACACTGAATATTTATAGTACAATATCTAGGTCCACAAAACATGAAACTCTTATGTGTTCAGGGATTTAGGCTAAGAAGGAGGCTGCACTCAGAGATAAAGGAGGGAATAGTTGTGTTTCATGTCCTGTATTTATTCTGATTTCTAGCTGTGGCAAGAACTCAGCACAGAAAGACTGGAATGGGGAACTTCACAGTAGAGCAGAAAATCAAACTGAAAGCTCCCTGCTCAACAGCTTTGCCATTACCTCCTTCCACAGGAACTCGGGGAGGGCAGGATCTGCCCCTCCAGGTCATGGTGTCCCATCCCGGGCTCACTGGAACAGGAGCTGAATCAGCAGATGGTTCTGGCTATGGCTTCCCAGATGTCCAAGCTCCCACAGCTCCACGCAGGCAGCACGGCTTGTGTGGGAGCCAGAGCACCTGGCACGGATCACTTCACTGGGCAGCAGGGCTCTGAAAGCAATCAGGTGTTCACAGCAGCTTCAGCACTCCTCACACAGCCACAAAAGTGAGCAAGAGCACTGCAAGAGAAAGCAGGCAGTTGTTGTCTTGCCATCCTGACAAGTGCAAAACTGCCGAGAAAAAAAACTCTACTTCAGCATTTGCACTAATTCAATAGAGAAATAAGAGTAGCAAAAGCACTGACTGTGCAATATTTATTTAATAATTAACTATCTTATAAGCATAAAACTAAAATATATGAAGTTTTTCTTTTTTGGGTAAAAAATTATCGAAACACTTTCTTTCTTCCAGAGGACTCAAAAATTAATAGAAAAAGCTTAACCATCCTACATTTACAGAATATTTTAAATGCAATGAAAAGAATTCTAAGACTCTACAACCCAAAACCTTAGAACAGAGGATTCATTAGGAGGATTCAGAAGATGAATTGCATTAGGACCCTACTGCTTTTAATTCCTTTGCATTTCTTTGGCTTTTAGATTAAACAACACTATGCACTACACAAGCAACAAGAAGGGAACATGTAATACAAACAGCTGTTAAATTAAAGGTATAGGTTCTTGTCATATGTTGGCTGTGAAAGAAGCATTAGGAGACAAAAGGTGATGGCAAATACTTTGTTTCTGAACTATACATCAGTAATTTGGCTGGTTAAGATCTGGTTGGTTGTATCCATTACACACTCAGAGATTAAAGACCATTACATTTATAAATACATATAGTAAGGGCTGTAATTGCAATTGTCTAAGGAGATATGTGTTCCTTTGTGCTTACTTATTTTGTTAAAGATAAAAAAGAAATGCATGCTCTTTCTGGCCCACACGAATGTTCAGAATTAAGCTACTAATATCTAAGAATTTTTCTGGGCGCAGCTGTAGCTTTTGGAGCTTTCTCACACCGGCAGCGTTGCACAGGTGCCTTTTCAGGGCTGCCAGAGGATTTATGCGGCACAATGGTCAGCATCATTCCTGCCCGATTCCAGCCCTCCCTCGGGAAGATGGCAATGCCTGGGACGGCGCGGGATCTTTCCCGAACGGGTCCCTTTGCTTTTCTTGGCCAGCGATGCCTCTCTTGGAGCTGCTGCTCGCGGGCTCTGCCGTGTGCGAGCCGGGGGCGGGCCGGGGAGGGGCTGCGGCGCTCGGGCACCACCGGGACAGCGGCGGGCACTCGGCCCGGCCCGCCGGAGCAGCGGCACCCATGGCCGGTAAGTGCCGGGGGCGCAGCGAGGGAGGCAGGGAGGGGGTGCCCAGCTCCTCCCGCAGCCCCGGCAGGGCTGGCGCTGGGGAGGGCTCGCTAAAGCATCAGCCCAGACCTGTCCCTGCACCGGCCGGCCGCGCTCCGCAGCCCGCCAGGGAAGGGACAGCTGGAACCGCAGGGCTGCCAGCACCGCCCGACAGGGGAGAGGCTCGGCCCTGGAGCAAATGGGCAGTCTTGCATCCACTACCCCCCAGTTATTTAATTTATACTGTACGTGGGCTTAAACTGTGTTTTTATACGGGATTAAAACTAGTGGTGGAGAATGAGCTGCTTGTAAACTTGCTCGTAAGCCAAAAAGCTTACTGCAAAGTTTAAGTAAAGCTTATTAAAAGCATATAATCACACAGTAAGCAAAAAAGGGATGCAATCTCAGAGGAGACAGAGGATGCCTGTCAGCACCTGCTCTATGCTAGGATAAACCTGGTACCTATCAGCAGGAGACGTCTGCTGGCTCTGGGAGGAGGAGATGAAATGGCCCAACAGGTCTTTTCCATCTCCTTTGCCACGATCCTGTACCGCAGCAGGATACAATACATCAATTGCTCATGATGGCAGGTAGTTATTTTAAAATATACATATTTTGTCCCTGCATACAATGGATGCAACTAATCTCAGTGGTCAATTTGTGACTAGTGCTACATTGTGCCCTAAGCCACTGGTTCTGTTGCTGATCTAATCAGATAAGATGGTCTAAAAGTGAGACAAATTCTCCTTACTCTCATTAAATTACAGGTAACTACTGAAATGAGTAAAACTTTACCTTAAATCTACAGCTATGTAAAGTTTAAAAAAAACCCCAGAATTTGAGTCTATGCCTATGGGTGTGTCATGAATACTTATCATTCTGCAGTGAACAAATTCAGTACATAAAACTCATTAACTAAAAGACTGGAAACTCATTCTTTTACTCCAAAATCAATGCACACCTCATCATACTGTCTTTAATGGTAAATGGTGACAAACTGGCTATAGGGGAACACAGGACTGCTGCTGAGAGCATCAGAGACTTGTGAATGAACAGGACAAGTTAAACAAAGACCTGTGCAGCTTGCTTGAAATGTTAACCTTTCAGATCAGACAGTAAAACTACCAGCCATATAGAGATTTGTGTTATTTATAGTGCCCCTACATGAAGGAAACCATTAATTTCTATTATGTTCATGGGCATTAAACTGAAGCATTTTTTCTGCATCTGGCCTTCTGAGATGCAATAAAATACGAGTCTGACTGAAGATATATTTGAGCATGTCCTGCAAAACTAAAAGGAACACACACATAAAATTCCCATGCTCATGTGCATTTCCTCATATTGTGCATTCTTATTAAGGAAAACCAATTTACCCACATGGCACAGTCAGACTTGTCTCTGTATTAATATTAACCCACATCAAATAGGAGCTTGTTTCCTGTTGCTCAGAATAAGGATTGCACTAATAGTCAGGCTGAATGCTGGAACCCACTCAGTTCAGCCACCAGCTGCAAGGACAGCAAAGTGCTGTTGCTGTGGTACTGCCATGAGCAGGGTGGCTGCTCAGGGTGCTGCTGGGAGACAGCAGTGACTCAGGGAAGCAGCCAGCCAATTCCTGCAGAGGCCTAAGGCAACACACCTGGAGGGGAGCTGCAAAACCAACTTGGCTTCAGTGACTCCACCAAATGCAGGAAAATGAGTCAGGATCAGATTAAGGCCTTTGAGGCGCTATGGGCAGGTTAATTTTATAGTACAAAGTAATTACTTAAGCGTTCTGTAGCTGAAGGACATTTCATGTCACTGCAACACAGCAACACTGAAAAAGATCAGCAATAGATGTATTTTCAACTCACCTCCCATACTCTTTATAGCTCTAATGAATAAACTAAATTAAATGAAAATAGTTTGGAATTATTCAACACTATTATTATTTGATAGTCAAAACTATCAATAGTGTTGACTGATGCTTTTGTGCTTGTATTTTCTTTATTTTACTTGTACCATTGTATAGAGATGGCTAACTGCAAGGTACCTACCAAGCACAGATAGATAAAAAGAAAAAGGAATAAAGCATAATCAAGTTAACTCTACCTAAAAGCAGAGAAGAAAAAAATTCAGTACCAGTTGTGAGAAAATGCCAGGTCACTTGGCTACTTCAGTTTCAAGGGAGACCTTGAGAACTGTCAGCACCCAGTGCTCAGCTGCTCCTGAGCTGCCTCCCATGGCTGCAGAGTGGAAGATAGAGTTTAGTTACAGAGCAAAATAATCTTTGCAGCCTATCACTCCAGCATTCTCAGCAAACATGTGAAAGCAATGAACTGAGCCTATTATCAATTATCTACCCTTGGTCTAACAAGAAATTCTCCCAACAGAATTTCTCATATTCATATTAAATACATTTATTTAGTTTTATTTGGGTTTGTTCACAGTAATTATAACAAGATTTTGTTGTATGTTAAGTATTCACGATTCAGGAAACTCTGTTTAATGGATATTTAACTTTGACTTCACAGGTCAGGAAACACATGCATCCTTAGAAAGAAAACAACCCATAGCTTTACTTTGTTCCTTGTGGCAGGGTCCAGATTCAAGTCAACATAGATAAATAGTTGGAAGAACAAACCAAACCAAAACAATGGTACCTTTCATATTAGGTGCTCCAGAGTTCTCTTTTTCTTCCATTATGCAAGCTCTAGCACATCTGCCATGCTAAGGTAAATGCTAATACAAAACAAGAGCCTGAATAATTCTTTGGCATTTGGGTTTTTTCATGTCTGTAGTCTCTCACATTGCAGTAACTGCCAGTGCTTCTGAACACTGTAATCTGTCACTGCCATTGTTATGTCTCTTCAGGTGCTGCACCATGCTATAACCAAACAAAAATGTGCATGTGAGCTGAATGCTTAATTTAAAAATAATTTTGGAATGGTTTTTTGTTAGCTTTAATATTCCTGTCTACACCCAAAATATACTTTGATCTTCCTATGATGTTTTGTGTGCTTTTATGTTTGAACAGAACAAGCAGTTGCTGTGGCTGGAGGTATAATAGGAGGGATCCTTTTATTTGTCCTCCTTGGAATAACTGCATATCTGCTCTGGAAAAAATTTTGCCACCTCTTTTCTTATGAAAAGCTCATCAATCCTGTCAAAACAACAAATGCAAGTGCCATTTTCCAGGATCAGGCAAATTCTGAAATTCATCTAAAAAGTACAAGGTACCTTTTTTCATTTTGTTTTTAAAGCATATGCTATGTAATTTATTTCAATTTGTCAAATATCAAATGAGGTGATCCAAATATATATATATATATAGCATGTACAGAAATAAAGGCGATCCCTAAATTATATGAAAACATCAGTCATGTTCTGTTTTGTTCCTTTAGGAAAAGGATAATCTAACTATCAAAGTGATGGTTATTCCTGATTTATTTAAAAGAGAGAATATATTCAAGTGTAATTGGTGAACGGATAGCTTTACCTGTTAGACAAACCCAGCCTATGTTCCAGAGTCATTTCTAGTCTAATAACAGAAACAACAGGACTTTAGTTCAGGAAGGAGACTCTCTAAGAGAATTAATAATTTCAGGGATTTTGGCTCTAAAACAAGCCACTGCAGTTAATTCTTCCTTTCCTTTGAAAGATAAATTCTAAAGGGAAGGAAAGGGGGAAAGAGAAGAATCTGTCAGAAGAATTAAGACCTAATGTGCCTCACTGTCTTTTTATGCATAAAGCAATTGTTTTTATTTGCTTTTTGATTTTATTTTTACCTTTGCATGTCTGTAGAATTTTTACATTGTGACATAAGAGCAGTAAACTTCGTACTCTCATCAAGTTTGATTTCCAGCTTTAAACCAGAAGAGTCAATAGGTGCTGTTGTCTTGAGCAGGTCCAGAAGTGTTCCATTTATCATTCCACCAACACTGCATGGGCGAGACTGGATTCACCTGACAAATGAAGAACAGGTTCAGGAAGACAGGGACCCCTTCATGACCCCTCAGTCTGGGCCACGGTCATCATTTCATTCCTTGGGTATGGCATTGCAAAAATGGGACTATTTTTAAGGGTAGGGTGGCTTTAGTATTATGAAGCATATATCTTGGGGGCACAGCAGAGACTGCATTACCCAGCACAAGCCCTAAATGCTCCATGCATTTATACATTTTATATATGAGAATTGGGCAAGAACACAGTAATTTTGTTCCCAGTGCTGTGGTACCTTACATATTTGGCAGACAAAGCAATCTCTCCTCCCATATTTTGTAAAGGCCAGGAAGTGTCTGTTGTCCCCAGAAACAGCAGTCACCAGCTGCATGCTGCAACAACAAATACCTAGAACTAACCAGGTACAATCACAGAAATAAGATAAAGAAAAGTGCTGCAGCCTACAATTACTCCCCCAAATCTCAGAAAAAAGGAAATAAAATATGAAATTTTTACAAAAAATTGATTGTTAATAAAGAGGGTAATTAATAAAGAGGGTAATCTGATTTACCCCACTACAGCAGTGGTTATAAAAATGCCTGCAACGGTTCTTGAGGCAAATCTAAGGGTGTTGTTTTGCCTTTTCTTGTAGCTGGAGCTTATGTTGTAGGAACCATTAACCCAGATCTGTACAAGTTTCCTGAAGACAAAAGTGAAACAGATTTTCCTGATGGCAGCATTGGCCGCCTCTGGTTCTCCATAGAATACGAGCAAGAGTCAGAAAGGCTCCTTGTCTCCTTGATCAAAGTCAGAAAGCTGCAGCCTCCTGCTGATTCCTGCAGTCCATTTGTGAAAATCTACCTGCTGCCTGATGAAAGAAGCTACCTGCAGTCCAAAACAAAACGTAAAACTCTTAACCCTCAGTTTGATGAAAACTTTGTTTTCCAGGTACTTTTTCTTTTGATGAGGCAGATTTTTGTTTGCAAACATTAACTTGTCAAACTACAGTACATGTTTGTATGTTCACAGTGCTTCTACCAAGACAGAAGTTGTTTCCACCAGAGACAGGATTTTTTACTGGGGCTTTTGGAGATCCTGGGCTACAGAAGCATGTGGCCCCACAACTGCTCTTACTTCTAGTCTATACTAAAGTTAAGGGTTCCAGAACTTGCCCTGGGAATAACAAAACCTCCAGTTTGAATTACAGCTGAGCAGTTCAGCCCAGCAGTTCTAGAAGTGCAGAAGGAGCCAATACTGACATGATGCTTTCACAGCTTTTGGTTTCTTTGCTGTGGAAGTAGGCTAGACAGCAGAACCTGGGAGGAATCTCTGGGCTGCTATTTGTACAGTACTGCATAACTTGGCTTCCCATGCTAACAGGCTTTCAGCACATGCCACAAGACAAAAGCTTTAAAACCAAAAAAGTTTGTTTCAGACAACTGAAAAAATGTTTACAGATTCTAAATATCTGAGTTTGAAAGTGAATGCATCACACAGCATTAGATCCATAGGAGCTAAAAAACCACCAACTAACTTCACAGCTTTCAAATGAACTTGTGTTTTAGCTTGGATCTTGACTTCCACATAGCTCAAGTTTTAGGCAAATTTTAAAAGTACTCGAAATAATTAAAGGAAATCCCCACCTAAACTTACCACAGTTTGAAAAATATTTCCTTTGAAGTCATGCTAGAGTAGGAAAGTGTCGGATGTTTTATAACTATTAATATTCTTCATTTTCCTGTACAGGTTTCCAGTAAAATGTTGCTCCAAAGGACACTAAAGTTTTTGGTTTATCATGTTGATAAACAGAAGAAGCATCATCTCCTAGGCCAAGTTATCTTTCCACTAAAAAATGAAGCATTAACTGAGGACAACAAACTAGTCATATGGAGAGATCTGGAGAAAGAAAACTTGGAGGTATGTGATACCAGGCTCTTGGCACTGTTGAACATCTGTCATCCTACAAGTACTGGAAGGATATAATTGAAGTAGAACTACGTTCTATCAAGTACCTCACATGTTTACTTCATAAACATTTAGAATAGAAATTCCCATCTTACCAACCTGCAGACCCATAGCTATTGTAAAAGGAGTACCCAGATGCTTAGAAAAGTCACATGAATTAGGAGGTTGTTACATAAGAACTTTTGTTATTTGCTTCTCCTTTCAATTATTAAGAGCAGAAGAGGCAAGGACATCGATATCCTCTAGAAAAGAATAATTCTGAGGGTTAGGAAAGCTGATTAATTGGTTCCATCAAATGTTACAACAGCAGAAATAAAAACATTACAACTCACATGCCTCAGTGTGACAGACACCATTAGCATGAAAAAGGATTGGTCTCCCCATTTGACCACACAATGAGGGAGTTTTTCAGACATATTTGACAGGTGTTGTTCTGCTTCCAAAGCCTCCTTCAGAGCATGGTGATATCCAGTTCTCCCTGAGCTACAATGACTACCTGGGCCGTCTCACTGTGGTGGTTCTGAGGGCGAGGGGATTAAAGCTCCAGGAGGAGAGCCCTGCTGTTGGTAAGTGGGATTTCCTCCCTGCTATCAGCTCCACAATTCCTGTTTTAATTTGCTCCTTCCTCATCTGTACACCCAGGCTTGTGCTGTGGGACTCTGACAGGAACAAATAAACATCCTGGTGATTTGAGTGGAAACAAGCCATATTCTGCCCTGAGGCAATTAGATTTTGATAGCTTAGTTTTGCTATCTTTGGGGTTTGTTTCATAATAAAAGGGTTGTCCTGTGGCAATTGGTGGTAACTTTTTTCTCCTGTTTTTGTACAGTGAGCAACATCCTTTTGCTGCTCTCCAGTCCAGAGAAGGCAGCATTTCAGGGGACATTAACAGTTGCCTCAAGTCAAATTCCCAGAGGTAACAGCTGCAGGACAAACTGCTTATGCTGAACACCTGTCCTGGGAAGAACTGAGTTGAGAGAAAAAAATCTCAGTTTAGGACAGTCTGGCTATTGTTCAAAGGCCATGGCATGGACTCACAATTTTCTCCCTTAGCACAGAAGGCTTTTTCTGGTACAACATTCTCACGTATCCCTGGTCTCAGAGATTACCTCAAAATGCTGTTTAAAATCTAACACTCAAAAGCAAAAACAGATGAAGAACGAAACTTGTATTTCAGTCTAGTGATTCTTGCAGGGCTTTGAAGCTAAACAATATAAATGCAAAATACACCTACAATTTGAAAAGAAGTTTAGTCCTCTATATATATTAGACACACATCACGATGATTTTTTTTTGAACAAATTAAGCCTTCAAAAAAGTCTCCATCAGAGGAAGGCACAGAAACACAAGATCAAGGATGCAGGGTAAGAATATGGCTGCTTATTTTAACAGCACTTAAACTGGAAAGTGCACTCCAAAACTGCACCTTCAGTACTTTGTAGCCTCCCTGCTTTATGTCATGCTGTCATGTGTGTTCCATCAATCTTTCACAATCTGATGTTACACTTGATATTGACTCCCAAAAGGAAGCAATTCCCTAAGCTGTCTCCCAACTGCTTCATGAAGATCTCTTTTAGTCTTGAATTTCTTTTTCTCCAAGGTGTGTATGTCAAAGTCTCACTAATGAACCATAATAAATTCATCAAAAGTAAAAAGACAGCAGCTCTTCTGGGAACTCCCAACCCTGTGTACAATGAAACCTTCAGTTTCAAGGCAGATCAGACAGAGCTGGATACAGCAAGCCTGAGTCTATCTGTGCTCCAGAGTAACAAAGGAGAAAGTAAGTTATATAAATTATTACAGTCATATAAATTACTACTGTCAAGGTGTCAAATCCCTTACATACTTGAGACATGTTTAAAGTTGAGAGGAAGTAATTCCTTTCCAGCAATAATCATAAAACATGTAAGAGTTTTGGGGTATTTCAAAGGCTGTCTCTTTAAAAGCAGAACAACTTATTTGTAGTTAAGCATATGTCTCTCTTTCAGAGGCTACATTCCATGGAAGACATGAATAAAATCACTGCAGCCTAGTCAATGCTAGTACAAGGTGCTGTGCCTTTGTTTCATTCCAGCATCCCATTAAAACAAGCTTATGTGAACACTTGTATGTGCAACACACAGCCTCCAAAACTGTGTGGCCATTCACTCCTTCTGAGCATATTTGAAAGAGGAACAGGAATTTTAATTATCTCAACAGAGAGAAAGAGAGAAGAGAGATTAGCAAACATCCCCATTCCCTGGCAGAAAACCTGATGCATGAGGCCACCTCTTACTAACTGTTAGAGAATCCATTAAGGAGTTCTGCTTACAGAAGCAAATCAGAATTCAGTATTTCCACTGCTCACAAGAAAATCATCTTCCCTGCAGTGCAAATATGAGCTCAATAATTTTCCCCATTCATAGCTGAAAAATCCAGGCATGAATAAGCAATCTGGACCTTGGCAGTAGCAAGACACACATTACAGCTCCCAGCTGTCTCAGTAACTGCGTTTATTTTTTGCAAAGCCAGAGCATCATGTGAATCCTACTGAGGTTGAAGATACCCAAAATTAGGGCATGCTTCCCCAGTAAACCTGAGGTAAAGGGGCCGGACAGATACAGATCAGATATTTGCACCTTGAAGATGTTTTAGTTTAACTTCAGGTAAAAGGACAGGCCTGCATTGACTAAACACCCACTTACTGCTGTACCTTTTAATGCTGAACCTCAGCAGGTAGAAGCTACAGAATCTGAAGTCCAGGGTTACTTCACTGAGAAATGTTTTGGTTTAAAAATACCTTTCAGAAAAGGCATTATTTGGAGAAAAACATATTGTCATCTTATTGCAGGGGTTCCATACTGTTGTCTCCTTATCACAAAAGTTCCAGACCTTCTCGGTGTTTCTCGTGGGCAGCTCCTCAGAGCACTGACTCTCTCTTCTTCACAAAGCAGCCAACTGACTCCAGCTCCCCTCTCACCCAGCCACCCCACTCTTTTATAGCATCTTCTTCTCATTGCTTACAGCTGTGGCCTGTTAAAGTCAGGCCTGCTCCTGATCTTTGATAATTGGCCCAGCTGCAACTCCTTAGGGGTGAGATTACTTTCTACACTATCTTTATTTTCTTATATTCTATCCCCCTACAAATACATGTTGATATTCTAATGTAGGCAAGGGTTTCAGAGAAGCATCACAGGGGTTCATCACTAACTGCCTTTTTTCCCCAGAAACACTTCTGCTGGGACGAGTGGTAGTTGGGCCTTTCATGTACACACGTGGCAGAGAACTGGAGCACTGGAATGAGATGATCAGCAAGCCCAAGGAGCTGGTTAAACGATGGCATGCTCTCTGCCACAGCACATGAACAGCACTGAGGAAAAACCAACCTTAACATGGGGAAGTTCTTACTATCTTTCTCATCTAAAGGGTAAAAAAAAAAAATCTTTGCTAAGATTTTGTACCTGAAGAAGAAAAGAATAAAATAAATTATTTCCTTGACCAAACACAAATAAAAGATTTGGTCCCTGGTAGGCTGGGAGTCCCTCCTTCCTGTCTTCAAAATATATGTTAAATTTAATTAACATGCAGCTGAGCAAACAAAACAGCCAAACATGATCTCTCAGTATTAATTATTTTGACTGGTAAATTGCACTTCTTGGTCATGAGTTCTGGGCACAAATGATCACACATGTAGACAGAGCCCAAGAATTGCCAGTGATGACACCAGGCCTATCTGCCCACTGTTCCACATCACCACAGTGCTTCACCAAAAAGGAGAGAAGCCCAGTGAGAATGCCAAAACAGACACAGCCCAAAAGACACTGACTAATACATGTAGAACTTGTTTAAAATAGCAGCATCACATTTAAGACCTCTTTTGAACAGGAAGGGTGAAGGCACTGCTCATTGGTCACACACCTGGAAGCAGCTGCTCACACCCCTCAGCACCTCAGTGTATTTCCTGCAGTAAGTCAGTTCAATGTCTTCAGCTGACCCCAAGTACAGCACTTTGTGTTGACACTAAGGGACAAGCAGAGAAGTCACAGAGTCACAAGTGACTGGAGGCTATTCCAGGACTGGAGTACTCTGGGACAGTAAGATGAGGACATGTCCTGTCCTATTACATTTCTCTCTAAACACATCTCTGCTGGAGACAGAGCATTGATTACAAGAGCCTTGGGTTTGACCTGGTATGACCATTCTCACACTGAAAATCCAATTAGCTTAAGCCCCCTGGGCATGTGTCTGTTTTAGTAGTAGAGTCCTCTTCATTAAGTAAATTACTGCTCTCTAAAGTAATTTGGAGCAATTATTCCTAATCAAAATAAAATACGACATTTTTCTCTTTTTGATTGTTCACTGGGGACCTGAGCTCTGTACCCTTCTCACTGTACAGTCATAAACCAGACACACAGACTACTGCAGCAAAACATTTTGCACAATCATGTTCCATAACCTCTACAGCTGAAATAAAACCAACTTCCCTTCAAACAGGATACAACATTAATTAATTCAAAACCTTAAAAATATTAGCCTTCTCTGGGGAGATGAAACCACTTTCCATTTTGATAATATTGTTATTACCTAAAGGAAATGTTATGAATGAGAAGATACCACAGAGGAATTGTAAGATAACAGACCTCCCTGATCCACCATCTGACATGTTACACAGTACCCTCAGTCTGTCTTGCTAATTACACCACTGGATACAAAATGAGCCAAACTCATTACATTACAAAGCTGTATTCAAATTTCAGCCCCACAAAACTACTGCAAACCAATCTGATAAGCAAAGTTATTCTGTTTGTTCTGGGGAGAAAAACTACACAGTTATCATACAGTTAACATATTACTAGAATAAAGTGATTTTACCAAATAAATGTTGTATTTTATTATTTCAACCATACCATTAAGGATCTTAAAAGTAAGCAGTTAGTATTTCAGACAGCTGGTTTATGAGCTTGTGCAGAAGATGCATGCAATGCAGTGTCTGTTAACAAATACCCCCAAGGTGGGAAGTCACCTGTCTGACATTGATGTACAGTGTGGTCCTCTTTTATTATACATTGAAGTAACAATACTTCCAGCTTGTGTGCTCAGTAATTTCAGCTAAACTGTGAAGAAACAAATTCTAATGCACTTACCAATGTACTTGTACTCACAGTCATCCAAGGGAAGCAAGTGAGAAAGGCCCTTTTTGACTCTACCTGAACAAGAGTTATTTCAAAGCAAGAAACATCATCAAATAAGGAGTTCTAATACAATGTTTTTAACTGTCACATAATGAGCAATTTTTTTACCTACTGTCTTTTATAAAACATCGATCTGATCTTGTGCTTGAGACTTACCTTGAGCTGAAGGAGGTGGAATGATTACAAGACAGTTCTGTTTTGCAAGAGAAAAGAGCAGCAGCAAAATTGCTGAGGGTAAATGGCAAAAATTCTGCTGTTAAAAAAAGGAAAGCAACCACAACAGCAAAACAAAACCACCAAGCTACAGATTGCATATGGGTAAGACAAACAAAAATTGTGAAACTAAAATATTACTGAATTCTCTAATATGCCAGGTCTCAGGAAAATTCAGTCTCTCACAATAGTAGTGAACTTTTCTGAGGAGAAAAAGGAAAACAGATGTGGAAGAAATTGTTGGAATTTATTAACGTCATTATTAACACAAATATGCATGTATAAAAATATATTATGCATGTATAAAAATATATTTTACGAAAATTCATCAGTATTACTCCAGCAGTATATACTATTAGCAGATATTCCATACCAGTCCTTTTGATAGTTTTGCTTTTTTCATAAGTTAAAACCAAAATCCTTTATTATAGTTTTTACAAGAGATTTGCTTCCTTCAGCTAAGTAATTTTTCTTCTGCTTCCCATCTGTGTGTCCTTATGGTCTTTGTTACTCAATTAGTGCAGAGGTCAAAGATCAGGATGAAAATTCAGCAGATGGAAATCCTTTTGCAAAGGATAGCTGTTCTCATCTAGCACAAAGTGGCTTCTGATTTCCAACAAATAGGATGCTTCTGTATCTGCCAGCAGTGAATGACACAGATCTGCTACTACTGTGCTGTAGGTTATATCTGAAGAGGGCACTGCAAAACACAAAACAATTCAATTTACACTTGATTTTCACAATAGCACCTAACATTCAAGTTCTACCTCCAAGAAGCTCCATTTAATTACTGCAAGTGAAGTTCAACATCTGAATAGAAAATTAGCTTTTATTTTTAATTACTTTTTAAAAACAATGAGCTGAGCCTGTTTCTCATTAAACTGTTAACACCTGTGAATTACATAAAACACCTCAAGTCAAACAGGACGTATCAAGTGAAGCTTGTCTGAAACACAGTTCAATGTTTCAGAATGAAAACATGCCAGCTCCTTCTAAAAGCTCCTAAGACATTCAATTTTGCACATAAGGAATCTATTTAGTTATTGAATATTTAGGTATATACCTATTATATAACTAAGTCGTTGTAGTTATTCACACCTCTCACCTCCTGTTGTTGCAACCTCTCCAGTGAAATTGAGTTTGTCAGCCACTTTGATGTTGGTGGTTTAGGGTTTTTTTTCAACTGTAAATGATTAAAAATTTTCCTTCCATTGTGAACTTTGCTGCCTGTTTCTATCACAAGTAATTAATGAATCAGTACCTACTAATCTCTTCAGCCAATCTGCAGGAATATTGAGGAAGATTTTTTCCATCAACTCAGACACCACATGAACATAAATTTCATGTCCTTCATCTTCTACTGTCATCAAAGCAGGTCTAGATCAGAAAACAAAGTTTCATGAAAGTTAGCTGCTATGGTTTGTTTTTTATTGAAACTTAATTTTACTGTGCAACATAATACCAAGAAATAGAAAAATGAGAAAATCTCGATGTACTTGTGTCAAATCTGTAGCTCTGGAATCAGTTTGAGGAATAAATAAGGAAATGGCCCTAAACTGAGACAGGACACTCAGATTAGACATTAGAAGGAAATTTTTTACTGTTAGGATGGTCAGGATTCCCCATGGAGGTGGTGGAAATACAAAGCAGGGACATAAGCTTAGGTGTGTCACTTGGAATTGTACCATCTGTATCAACATCATTCTGTATTATCTGTCTTAATACATCACTTTACAGCCACATAATACCAGGGTATAGCTCTTGCACTATAAATAATACCAAATGTTTTCACAAACCACTGAACAAATAAAAATCCCTATTTGGAAGTACTCCCAAGGTGATGCATTCTTACTAAATTGATCAGAAAAAAATTTCAGTGCAAAAATGTCAGGCTTTTCTCTGAAAAAAATGGACATGTAAATTCTACATCTGGATGTGTTCTCATGCTGAGAGTACAAACACTGGAAATCCTTATCATTTTTCCACCATCTTTTGTGCAGGAGCAAACTGAGGTCCTTCATGCCCACTGAGATTTCATAGTCTTATGAAAGACTGGCAGAACCTTTTCAGTTAAGGAAAAAACCTTTTTGTACTTAATCCTTCCTCACAGGAAAACAAATAGCACATAAAGATGCAAGACTATTTTGCTTAGAGGAAAATACTAAGTCACTACCTGGTTAGATAAATAGGATATTTAAGTCCTAGTTCATTAAGTAATAGTATTTAAGTTAATGATTCATTAAGCTCATTATGGAAGAGTTTAGAAAGAATTTGAGAAAAAATTTAGATTGAAAATTTACATATTCTAGAATAAATAATTCTAGATAAATGTGAGAATTGAACAATTAGTCAATAAAGATGTACCTACATCAACTGGATCCACTTAGTTTATTTTCTCTAAGTGTGAATATATGTGTCCCACAGTGCCATCTGGTGATAACTCACTATCTCTGCTCTCCCAGAATGTTTATTGAAAACATTTGTCAATATTATTTCTGCACAGCTGAAAGTGACTAATCCGTTTAAAAACATGGTTCTGCATGCACGTGATTTCAGATTTAGGCTGGAACAAGATTCTCAAGGAGTTTTCCTTTGGTCCTCAAGCTTCTACTCCACCTCAGCTTTATCTGACACAGTACTGGGTAAACATCATTCCTGCATGATAGTATTCATAGAAATTAAAAAGTTAGATTCAAACTAGAATATCGTGTATAAATAACGACATTATAATACAGCAATTCAAGAACAACAAACTGAAAATTCATTGGAGAGACAGGGATTGCTAACCACACCTTAAACAAAGAATTTTAGATATGGGGGAAATTAAAATGGAGAAAGTTTACCTCCCTAATAATACACATTACTTTAACTCTATTTTGTTTACCTGTAGAATGTTTTTACTTTGCTGTATGGCAGACATCTAATACATTGCTTATAGATCATGTTCTCATCTGCCTGTAGTTCCAAACCACATTTGGCACAACCTGAATATGTGATCATAGGCAGAGAAGCCAAAACACATTCCAGTGAAGTGTCAGCAGAGAAGATGAGCTGCTTGTACTGACCAGTGGAAATAGTAAACTTCAATTCCAAGATATGGGCTTTCACTTGGACCACTCCTACAAAAACAATTCAAATATGAATTAAGCTTTATTTAGAACTGAAAGCGAAATCAATGGCTACAGCTGATTAAAAACCAAAATTGCTATCAAGAACTTTCTCAGTTTCTTCCCCCTTTGTTAACACATGCTCAAATTTTTAGAGGTATTTTATTCAGTGAAAAATCTTGGTGGCTAAATATTATTTTAAAATGTACAAAAGAACTACATTTTCAGGTACTATATCAGTAGATTTCACTACAGAAGGTGCCTGAATAAGAGATCAAAATTGTGCAAAGAATTTCCAAGTGATTTTCTTCCCACTGTTTCAAAGACACTGAAAAGCACAGCTTTAACGACTTAGCTTTTCATTATTTATATAAAAACTAGAGTTAAATGCTGCAAGAACAGCTTTAATCACTTCCTAGCACTTAACACCACCCATAGCCATCTTCTAGGCTTATCTGGGAGAGGATGACTGTGTAAAATGTCTTCTTTGTCCTTTTGTAAGAAGTTTTCAATAGCAGTAGCTATTGAGAGTTCCCGTTTTTGAGAAACACTGATAAACTTCCAGTATTCAGTCACATCATTACTGGACTGGCTGGTGTGGATAACAAAAGTCAGCATTTCCCTCTGTGCTCTGAAGCTGCCTTTGCATGGCAGCACACATCACACCTATCCCTCTGCTGGCCTCATGGGATGAAGGCTGCATTCAGTTTGGCCAAGTACAGGGCAGCAGCCTCCAGAATAAATTCAGACCCAGACCTGGGCTACCTTAAAAAAACAACCATCTTACCTCATTCATCATGAGAGCATCTATTCTGCCTACTTGTGCATGGCACAACAGACATTACAGAGCTGTGGATAACATTTACCTGAGCATTTTTCTTCCAGGAGCACCGAGAGCCTTGTCAGCTCCATGAGGGATGTCTGGCTTTTCTGAAACTTTTCTTTGAATTCAACTGCCCTTTTGTCATCATCAAACAAGCACTCATAGGATGACCATGGAGTAGTGTGCAGTTCCAGGTCACCTGAGACAGAACTACACTGGACCAAAAGGTATTTGAAAGCCCATATGTGGTCTGCAGAACAAAAAAGCAAACAGAAGAGTTTATTTTCTGTACTGTGGTTAATTTACAGAAAGCCAAGGTCACGTACAAGATTGAGAAACAAATCAGAAGACATTCTCACATAGCCAGCTCTGGTAACTTCCTTTAAAGTGTGATGACATGTAAGGTTCTTCCTTTCCCTATAAACTTTGCATGAGTTGTTTCCCATAACAGAAATTTCATTTCACCTCTACCAAATTCAGCTGCCACGACAACTGAGCATTTTGAAAAAGAAACCAGCTCTGAAATTTGTTGTCAGCACTAATGCTGGCAATGTCTCAGAGAAAAAATCTTCATGTTGATTAATCAACTTCCATTTTAATGTGATTAATGTTTTTAATCTTCCATCTCCAGAATTTTCATTTAACATAAACCTAGTTTAACTTTTCTTAAAGGAACAAGACTAGGAATAAATAAAAGTTTGGTAGTAGTCACTGCACAGCCACATGTAATTCTTGTAATTCTAAGTAGAAGAGATGCTTCTACTTAGTTACCTGGACTTGTTCTCAAGACCATCAGGATATAAAGCCTGAAGTGGAAAGCAGAAAATGATAAAAGGAGTAGGAAAAACCCAGCAATTCATGCTACACCAGACAATGATAAGGAAGACCCAGCAAAACTGGTAACACAGTTAACACTCATGGATTTTTTATAGTTACATAACCAGGCACTATATAAGTAAGTGCATCTTGTATATAGATTGAAGTTTTTAAATATTTATGCCTTCTCAGTGTTCTGAAGTGCAATCAAATTCTGTTACTGATGGCACTGCTTCTAAACAGAGATGATGTTAGAATTAGCACAAAATACATTATCCCTCCAAGGGGAGTATTGAAAGGTTGAATGGATAAATGTTACCAGCTGAATACTTAAAAGGCACTTAGAGCATCACAAAAATCCTTTCAGACCTACCCATAGGTACAAGGAACCTTACCTTTTTTCCTCTGAAGCTGGGGGTACCAGGCAGCCCCTGCCCCCCACAGAACCATCCTGTAGTGTTGATCTCTGTTCTGTTCTACTGTTAGAATAATTTTTCTTTGGCTGCCACCTCTGTAGCTGTACACAGATTCTGGTAAGAATTGAAATTACATTACTTCTACAGTGAAAAGCATATAAGCACACAAACCCCACGTGTCTCAGTATTACAGTGAAATCATGGTATAAATATAAATCATTTTATGCTACAATTAAAAGCAAAGAAGAATACACCTACAATTTCTTCTGGACAGAAAATAACCTGCTTTCTTCTGCAACAGGAATCTAGTTTGAGGGAGTGCATAAAGTTTATTAATAAACTTTTATCCATCTAAGTACTCAGTAACTGGACAACTCCCTTTGAAGCAGGAAGTATCTGAGCATCTTTCAGCTCCCATTCTTCCTGACTTGTACTGAGTAGTAAGAAATTGTACTCAATCTCTCAGCAACTGTTGTAATTGGAAGTTCCCTTAACTTCTGTAGAATACAGTGGAAGAAACATTTCACTACAAGTTTTCACATAAAAGAAAACTACAGGCACAAGGTGTACAAGGCACACTAAAACTATTAGTAACAGTACATACAAACCTCTACACAGCTCTTATCCAGGACACTGCATGTCTGTTTCAGTTCCACATTAAAACTACAGCATTTTTCAAAAATAATTTTTCAACAAGAACACCTGGATGGAATAACTAATTCCAAGATTTACTAGAGCAAATGATGAAGGTTTTTATCTTCAAAATTCTGCATTTAAAACTAATAAACATGCTATTGATGATGTGGGTAGAAATTTGTATCTTACTAGTTCAAGATGATAGTGCAATGTGATCAAATTTTTGTGCAAAGCTTGAAATCAAGCAGTGAGAAACATTTTGCCTTACAAAATTACTATTTAAGTTCCAGCTACTGCAGAAGTTGAAGTCCAGTGAATTAACTTACCTGTTAACACAGAAATATTGATAATTTTCAGGATTGAGTGCACCAAAACATTGGGCTGGAGCTGATCTAGCTGCACGTACTGAACATCATCCAGTCTCTGAACTTGTCTTTGTGGAATGTCTCTGAAGTGTGGAAATTCTGATGATATGTATGCCAATAAGCCATGCAGAACACCATCATCCACTAGAGGATAAATTTATATGGAAAACAGGCAAAGTCACATACTGCTTTTTATGCTTAGAAGTGTAAAACTTGTGACTTGGAACATGTTTACAGTGAAAAAATCAGAACAGTTTTAGAAAAATTTTAAGGTAAGAAATTCCTGAGATATATAACACTTGATTTGAAATTAAACTGCACTTCAGGATAGTATCAAGAGGAGGCAGATGAAGTTCAACTAAGTGCAATACTTTAAAATACCCCAAAAAAACCCTTGTACCATAGCTTGGTAAGAAGAAAGCTGTTCTTGATCATTGACCTCAGAATCTGCCTTAAGAGCTGGCTTTACAATACTGGACATCACAAAGACAGGAAGAACAATGGTGATACTTCCACTGTATTTTCCCCTCAGTCTCCAACCCTCCATGGCCTGCAATTAATCACTTTGGATCCACTTACTCCATTTTGCAGAAAATTGAATCCTCATGCAATCTCAGACATCACATGGGCAGGTCCTGGGATAACTGCTCTTTCCTAAACTAAACTAATTTTTTTTTTTGAGTTCAGAGTGATAGCCACCAAACTTTATGATGATCTCCACATGCCTATCTGATGTCATGTCCACATCTTGTGCTCAGGTGTTCCTGTCATATTTTTCTATTGTGTTTAGTACCTCTCAGTTGCACACATTTCTATTTTATATTATGTGTGAGGCATTGCCAGCAAAATGGAGTACTTGAAATGGCTCTTTTATTGTGATTTTCATGGCAACTTACGCACTACAATCTTACATTCTTCTGTCTTGAGAGCTGAGCAGTTCCCCAGATTCAATAACTGACTGGTAAATGTTGACTGAAGCATGACCTCTCCACACCAAGGATTCTCAGACATTATTATATCTGCAAGAAAAAAACAACTTTATCAACTCACATGTCAACAATACTGAAGTGTATAATATTTCTCTTGACTATATAACTGTCTTACATAGAGATGTCTAAAGCACAGGGTTTGAAAGAGAACACTTGGAAACTCAGTGATTATTTTATTTTAATCTACCAACACCATTTACAATGAGTTGGTAAAGTTTTCTCAGTTTGATGTAATTCTTAAACTCATTAGCCTCCTAGCAGACACTGCTTAGGTCTGGTTTGTAGCAGCACTTGTACTTTTCAAGAACAACTGTTTTAAAACACTGACACCTTACAGAATAGCCCTGACTCTCCATGGCTGTGTCTGAGGGCAAACTTCCATGGAATAGTCAACGCTGCACTGGCAGGATGACTGAGAACTCAGTAATGTAAGTGATGTAAGAAAGCAACACACAAATGTTTAGCTATAGTTCCAAATTATTTGCTACATTCTTCTATTTTAAGCAGGCATTTTTAAGATCCATATTTTTAAAAGGCAAACAAAAGATCTCTCACCTGTAAGCAGTATTACATCCCCAGGAAACACAGTGAGGGACCAAAATGCAGCACCACGCCACAGCACCACCTTTCTCTCAATTTCTGACTGGTCAGTAACAACAATTGTTGCCACAGGAACTTTACATGAAGATTTTGGTATAGTCTTCTTCTGTACCTCTTTGATATGACAAGGATGTACAACTGCAACCAAAATATTGTACTTTTGATTTTTGCAGCAGCAATTCTTAAGTAGTGAGAGTTTCTTTTGGAGTTTCTTGAACTCTGCCATCCTGTCTGGATCCACTCTCAACCCAGAACCAGGTGGAGAAGAATTCAGTTTAGCTCTCTTGGATTTGAGCTCTCTTCTAAATGCTGAGTGAGAAAGACGAAGGGAATCTTCATGCTTGCGGGGTCTTTTAGAAAAGTTCTTGTGAGAACAGTTCCCTTGAGAGCACAGTACCCCAGAGCTCAATGGCTCAATATGGATTTCATTTACAAGTTGCTCAGCAGCAACATTAGGTTCTTGAAACTCTTCTTCATTTTCCTGAGCACTTTCTTCCTGTTTTGTAGCTTTAACTAAAACATTTTCCCCATCATCCTCAGAACTGAAAAGTTCAAGAGAACTTGCATCCTCTTCCTCATATTCATTTTCAGTAACAGTAGTAGTACATGTTCCAACACCAGAATCACATTGGAAGTGACCATAGTGTCCCTCTTCAGCTTTTTTGCCTGCTTCTATTTCTGATAGTTTTACAATACTTTCCTGCATCTCATTCTGTGCAAAAACAGCCACCTGACTGGAAGTCAGTACACTACGAAACTCAGTGTCTGCTGACACTGCAAAGTTTGCACAGTCATTTGGTTCTTTTGCTTTGGACTCCTGAGCTTCTTGGAAAAACACATCCATACATTGCCTTAGATGTTCATGATGCTCAGTTCTGTGAGCTGCCTGAAGCCCCACAGACTGTAAATGGATGCTGACCTGCTCAGTGCTGGCAACCAATGCAGAAATATCAGTTCTGTCAACTTCTGAAGGACAGGCTTTTGTCTCAGTGAGCTCTGGGCAGCAGGCACCTGATGGTTTCTCTTGTCCAGCTGACTCTGCACAGCCCTGGGGCAGGTGCTGATCTGCAGCCTGATTTACATCTGCAGGTGTAAATCTATCTGTGGGTTCATGACAATCAGAGCAAGCTAAACCTGTGATCTTTTTAGGTGTGCAGGTACAAGTTAGTGCCACAGGGGCAGGAGATGGCAGATCTTTTCCTTCTTTTGCCATGGCCGTGCCCTGCTGGGTGGGGACCCCTGTGGGTGCAGAGCTTTCTGCCTGGGGCACCGCGGGGGCAGCAGCGGCCCGGAGCCTCCCAGGAACGCGGCCAGGGCTGTCACACAAACAGCGCAGCTCCTTCCATCGCTCACCAGCAGGGGCTGAGCTCTGCTCCAACCCCTCCCGTGGCCTCGGGATACTGGGTGCTCCCACAAAAATATGGATTTGAGGTCTTTTTGACATTTTTGACTGCTGTGTAAGTTTGACTTTAAATAAGCACAATAATAATAAATATCAGCAGATGCAAAAAAAAGAAGGATTTTACTTTTCCTTTGCAATTTTAAAAACACCTAAAACTCATGGGAGTTTTTCATAGTTTAACCAGTAAAAACACTACTTAACTGCTTCAAGCCTATAAAAATAGATGTACAAAATCTAAAAAAGGGAATTTATTTTAGAAATATTCAGCATTTATTTCTGTCAAATTTGCACAGAAAAATAAATTTACAGCCACACCTAGTTTCTGATTCTGATACATAGAAACACAATATAGGGAAGTTAATTTTAAGTTTAATTATTGACCTATTCGTCTTCATTTACTATTGCTAATCAAACAGTCAAATGTGACTTCACTATTCAGTGCTTGATTTAAACTCATCTGAAATAAATGTAAGAAATCTTCACAGCATAGTTAGGAGATCATTTCATCTTCCAGAAAATCAGTTTCAACTAAATGATTAAAACACTAGAGCTATTTAAAATTAAAGTTTGCTAGGAATGCAATATTTTACATGCTGTTTTGGCATGAAACGACTGTTTCAGGCTATTACTGATAAATAATAATTATTTAATAACCACTAAGAGGTCAGTAAAGCTTGAGCAGGTGATTTAGGATTTGTTTTAATTCATTTATGTAGTATCAAACTACTCAAGAAATTACTAGCTTTTCTAGCTAATTAAAAATCAGCCCACTTACACAGCACACAAAAAGATGACCTTTTATTTTTTAAATTTCTGCTGTATAATTATAATTTTAATATATGCAGAAACAGCTATGACTGTTCCTTAAAATGTGATTACAGCTACTTGTTTTGGGAGTGCTGTTGCTAATAGAAGTTGCTTCAATGGGCAATTCTGCAGATGTAGAGAACACCAGAAAAAATTCAAGAGCTAATCCAGCTGTAAATAGAAGAAAAAGACCATTGAAACAAATGCAGCATTGAAAAATATGCAAATTTTTCATTTAGCACTAATTAAATTAGCAACCATTTTCCTAACAACCCCACTAGGGGTCAATAAATCTGCACATTCACAAGGCTCATTGTAACATGGAAAAACCATAAACATCACAGAATAGTGATCTCTGGTACACAATTGCTGTCACTAGAAAAGCAATATACAATCACTAAAATAAGATAGGGCAGAATACGAAGAAGCTACAAAACTCAGAGACTAGCATTGGTCACTTTTATGCTCATAACAAAATAAATACCACTTAAAACATTGGAGTGTCCAAACTTCTGCAGTTGTACATTTAAGTTTAGTCCCAGAAAATGGTAACTTTTAAAGGACAATACCCAAAGCTGTGAAAGCTTTGAGTTATATAAAGAATGGTAATATACAAATAACCAGAAGAACAGAATTTATGGTCAATACTGAAGTAGTGGATCAGGTAAGGGAAAGACTAAGCAAAGTGACAGTGAGGTTGAATCCCCAAAGAAGTGATGTTAATAAGCTTTGCAGATAAAAGGCTACCAATACATGATGTAAAAAGCTCAGTAACAGATCTGTGACAAACAGAAAATGTTACCATCAGTTCAAATGAACTTAGTAAATGTCCACTTATATAGTAATTTATCAGCCCCTCATTTTAAGTATCACTTCTCTTTTGCTTGTTGACATGTTTAGTGGTTTGTAAGTTGCACAAAAATTCAAAAAGCTTTCCTTAATTTTCCAGTTCTGTAACTCCTCTAAACTTAGGATTTGCTTTGCTGATTCACATTTTGCAGTGCCAGTACATTAAGGCCAGGCCACATGGGGCCCTGAGCAACCTGGTCTAATGAAATGTGCCCATGGCACAGGGTTTGGAACTTGATGATTTTTAAGAGCCTTTCCAACCTGGGCTGTTCTATGATTCTATGATCACACCAAAGGAATTCAATCTTGATGTTGTTTAATGAATGTTTGCAATTAAAATACAGCTTATATTTTCAAAACATAAATTACCTTAGGAATGGTAAATGACCTCTGCCAACTTTGATTTGTGTAATAGGTCCACTACTAAATGACCTGTTTTGGCAATTTCCAAGTGACTTTTTGAGTCAAAGATGTCAAACTCTTTCCTGTACCAGGAATCACCAGTAGCTAAAATCATTTTGAGTCTGTAAATTAGAAAGAAAAAAAAAATTAAAGTTTACCTAAACTCCCTGTACACAATTGTTTAAAGAACTGTTGATTTGCTGCTTCAGAAATTATTACCCACTTAATGAGTTTTGTTAGTGAAGTTCTACACCTTGTTATAAATAAAAGTCTGAAAGAACAATTCACTTCAGATTTTACAAGGTGAGCAAAAAACCTATCAATTATTTTAGTAAAATTCTACGGCCACAAAAAAAACCCCCATTTTATACTGTAGTTATCTGTGGGCAGACAGTGGCTTAACTAACTACACAAAAGATAACAAGAGCTAAAACTCATGAAGATACAACTGAAACCTGAATGCACATATCCATTATACCTGTTAATTATTACACCATTTCCTAATTTGTGGAAAAGTGCTCTATTCCTAGCAGCCAATGAAAGCCAAGCTTTTTATCTCTGAAATGGTCAGAGTCTGATTGACGGGTCAATGATCTATTAAAAAACAGTAACTACATCAGCAAGTTTTACATTTGCAAGGCACTGCAACTGAGGTTTAATAGACAGAAATATAGTATGCTACATAGTGTATTTCCTCCAATCGAAACAGTAAGACAGGAATTCTACATTTAAATGTTTTTAAAACAAACTGTCATTAACAGATTGTTAATCTCTAGTGATCTGCTGCACATAGAATAAAATTAAAAATTGCTTTAAAAATCCTCTTCGCTCTAGAAATGTTCTGATGCTACATACACAACCTTAAAGTATCCCGAAAATACCCTAAAAATACTCAATTTTATTCCATAGTTTTCTACTCATTAATAGTATCACTCACCATGATAATCACTAAGCATTATGCCAAGGTAATTTAAGAGGGTGACACAGCTTCAGCTTCCTATAATTCCTGAATATTCACAGTAGCCACATGCCTGATCTCTGTTCTGAGAAGTTACATCTAAACAGCCTCATCAAGTCCTTACTCAAGCCCTGTACCCTAAACGTAAACCACACTAATTCAACCTCCAGTTAAGAGTTTCTTTATGTCTGTTACACACTACAAAGCTTCAAACTACAAATAAAATTACAGAAATGAAAGACAGTAATGCATCAGAAGAGAACTATACCAATATAATGCAAAAGTGTACTTTCCCCTCTAGGAACACTGTAGTTTTAGGAGACAAACAGTGTATTCTTTTAACTTCCTGCTTTGATTTGCTGCAGCTTAATGATGAACATCCTAAATGGTACGTGGTTAATGACTTGACCCCTAAAATTTGCAAGAAAACATTATAATTGTCCTTTCCCTGCTGAAAAGCTGGTAATAAAGTAAGTAATAAATACATCAAGTAGGATATTTCTTAAATTCTAAATTTTAATTTCTATTGTGGACTTTACCCTCCCTTATTCACATACTTCACTTTATACTCCTCCTACATGTAGTATAAAAAATTAAAGGATTGATTCATCTACCTTACAACAGAGGGGACTGAATTATTCATACCCATCTTCAGAGTATTCCTTTTCAGTTCAATTCAAGCTGCAGGGTTGTTCAACAACTTAATCCATGTGATTGTGGAGTAGAAAAGCTACTAAGATAGTTGCCAACCAAAGGGAAACCAGAAAAACTTCTTGATGCAGAATTCTGTTTCCATCACAGGAAACTCTTCTGGTGCTTTCACCATGCTGCTCAAGTCTCCCTCCAAAATTCAACGTGATCTTTTTAAAAAGCCAGGTACCGCAGCTGTACAGCAACTTTGAAAGAAGAAACAGCAAGCAGTGTAGTAACATTTTCATACACTTAGAAACTGAAACAACTCTGGAGTAGTGAGGAATGCCATTACATATTTGCTTGCAACTTGTGCAAGAAAAAGAAGGGAGATCTTTCTGCCAACAACTCCTGCTGGCACTGCAAGTGAATCAATATACCAGCAACAGCACCTATCTGCTAAATCAATAAGCTTGGTCCAAATACATAATGAGAGGAACACTGGCAAATAACAACTGACAGAACTCAAGCTAAGCACCTTGTAGCTGAAGCAAACTCACTCTACATAAGAGTGAGGGATGCATCATGTGGGCTTCAAAGAAGATGCTCTGTGTAAGTGAATGGCAGCTCAAGGAGATTTACTGACGTGGGCTGCAGCAGCCCAGGCTGGTGGCACCTAACAAGAACTCAGGGAACACAGATGTGGGAGAACACACACATACACATGCTCCACTGGGGAAATGAACAGAACAGGTCTTACTTCTGTTATCTGTTGTTTGGTGATTGTTACAAGCACCAAATACCTTTTATCTGAATTTTCATACAAGGTTTCAGGTAAAGACTGTAGTCCTGTCCATAACTGCCCTGTCTAACCAATGCAATTTTACACCAGGATGATCATTGGGCTCACACAGTAACACTGTTAGCACATGGAATACTGTGCACAGAGGCTGCTGTCAACCAGACCTGGTGGTATAGCAATTTGCATACAGCAGTATCTGTAATAAGTATAAAGTTACTTCTAAATGAGGTACTTAGGTTATTATTGACCATAAAATAACTTCTATTAGTACCTACTATTGAAGTTAAATAGCAGCATCCAGTATTTAGTTCTTCTCACTGGCTATTACCAGAGGACCACAATACCATTTGGACTCAAGACAGGTACAGCTGGTTTACAAGCACAGAAAACCTGTACTCAGCAATGCCTAGCCATAAAACACCAGGTATCCTTTTTGTTTCCTTATTTGGAGCACATTAGGTAACAAGATGATTTTTAGAATAGAGAACACTTATGGTATCACAACAGAAACCTTCCTAAATACTCCTGCAGCAGCAGGGAAATAATTTAAACTAGAAATCAAGGTTCTAAGCAGTTCTATAGCCTAACACTGAA